AATAGTTTGTCTTTACACACAATAAGAGCATTGATTTCTATGTAATGTTAATGTATATAATTATATGAATAGATGGTGAGTGCTATGCTATCATCTGTGGTGCGCACACATACACAGCACATCCACAGCACATCCACCAGACAGTCGCACATCAACTAATATTTCATCAATTTTTCACCATATATTACATAATATCCTATTGAATATTGCATAGCAACGCATCACTTGTTAGATCTTTTTTCTATCTTTTTTGAAACTTATATAAAATATATAATAATTTCTCACTAGTAGTAATAGAGAACTCAAAATTTGTTTATTATTTATATATTTGTACTTTTATTGATACAGAAAATATTTTATAACTATAAAAATGAATACTATTACTGCTAAAAACTAAAAAATACTACATTAATACTTTTCAAATTTAAATTTGAGCAAAATACATTTTTTTACTTTAAATTAATTTATGCTACATTATTAGTAATAAATTATAAAACCTATATAGTATTAAGGACCACATTGATCAATTATTTATAATTTAATATTCATGTAACAATAAATAATTTAAAAAATTTATAAATTATTATTAATAATAAAAGTGACATGATACAATAATGTAATATAATGGTATAATGATACTAAACTACTACAGTAAAACATAAGCAAAAATACTGTATAGCATACTGTTATTGTTTTACATTATGAATATATAAGTATAAACCTATTATCTCTAGTATAAATCTAAAGATATAATTATAAATCTGTAGTATATAATAATAATTGATATCATATGAATATTTTATTAGTATAATACAAATATTATTTCAAATACCATCCAATATCTAATATGATTTGACAATAATAATAAAATATTTATAATATAAAATAATATTTTCTCAATAAATGGGGAAATACACATGTAATTCATGTATTGTAAAGAAGCCAAACTTGAATTTAATCTTTAAACTGGTTTTTCTAATTTAGAAATCAATTCCTTTCAATTGTCATTCAAATATTTTTCCAGTTATTTGTAACAACTTTTCTAATCGTTAATTCTAATCGTCGATCATATTGTGGTCTTTAATATATAATAGCATATTACATGTTTACATTATAGTAAGCATTAATATTTCTAACAGTAATACATTTTCAAAATTTTATTAAATAATATTTCCATAACTTTATACAATATACAACGCAAATATATAATATATTTTACTGTATCAGCGGTTAGTAACTAGTTATTATTATGAAGGACTAAATATTACTATTTTATTAATTAATTCAAACTGTACTTTATATAATGTGCCACTTCACAATTCACATTTAATCTGATAGCATTGTAGTCTGTTCTGGATATTAATTATTATAAGTTATTATTTATGTAAGATATAGTATAATATTCATTCATATTAATCTGATTGTAATTGCAGATACAATTGAAATGAAAAAACTGAGTTTAATTAAACATGTCCTAGCTCATCGGTGGCGGTAATACCGGTATTTAATATACAGTACAGTACTGAGCGCCAAAATCTATTTCTCAAAAACTCTAATAATTATTTTTCTAAATAATATTTTTATGTCAAAATTTTATCGATTGTGGTAATATATCTATATTTCAAAATTAATAAGTAATGATAGATAAATACCTAGCCGATCAGTGATATAATTAATTTATAAATGGCGACTTATAATTTTAAATTAAAGGGCATGGCTTCCCCATGTTAAATTCCCATTGAACCCAAAGTAATTTACCTGAGCATAAGAAAGTTAACCATTGTAAAATGACTTAAATTTAGTTAAACTAGATTTTAAGTTGTTTTAATTTGAATAGGAATTGTCACATAGTAAATTATGTTCAATATGGTCATACTCATTAGGTTAAATAATATAAAATCAATTAATAATTAGTCAAAATAGACCTTGACAAAAATATTTTCGTGATTATATTTTCTTAATTATAATTACTAAATTAAAATAGTAAATTAAAATGTTAGATATATCATATGATATACCATTTTAAAGCTTATTATTAGATTGTTAATTTGGTACCATATTTAATGTTATACATGCAATATAATAGCTAAAAATTTAATTCAAACTCGACCATATTATGCTCGATTTCAGTGCTCAATTTACACATGTCACGAATACACGACTGGAAACTTGTGTAAATTTTGGAAGCATATGGTGATTTTAGCAAGTGAACTTGGTCATTTAGTTATTGTAAAATAATACCGTATATTTATATATTAAACATTGCATTTATATAACTAAATAAAGTATTATTATATTATTTAATTACGTCTATGGCATAGTTGAAATTATTTGTTTTAATTTAATTTCTAATATTTTTATAAAGTGCTCTAATTTGACGGAAGTATGTTGGAAAATCCTAGCGTCGAGTATTATTTATCCTAATATTTAAAATATTGTATTCTTCATACCAAACACCTAAAGGCAGAGAATATTCTGGGGAAACCTTATATTGAAATATTCAAACTCTTATGTAATAACGTGTTTATTTGCACCAATGATAGCACATTATAAGATTGAGTTAATAATGAAGTGATGGTTAGTGCGAGTCCTCCACTGCCGGCCCCTAATAACACGTAATGGCGTGACGTATACTTCATGTCTGGGATATACGTCGAGACATCACTTTTTCACACCATTTCACTAACATTTTCATTCAAATTTAAATCCGAAAAATCAATTGCATTTATGTCGAGAAATCCATGTATTTTTCTAGTTTGATAAATAAACTAACCATTCATGTAATATCCGACAATTACCGTATATTCATATAATATACCATTAATAGTGAGCATTAACTTAATATTAATAGTATTAAGTAATTATATCAATGAAAAGTGAGACATACTTGATGTGAGTGTTTGCGATAAAAGGTACCAAAAGTAGGATTGCGTCAAACCATGCAATAGTTGTGCACATAATCGTCAATAGGAGTGGTGTTCGTCTGGCAGTGCATACCTGTACTACAGGCCGTACAGCACTGTATACCTCACCCATACCTCCCATACCTCTCATACCTGTATAGCTGTGCTCTAATACTACGCAATGCCAGACATGCCATACAATGGCCATACAATTGCATCACTGCTCACAACAATACACAACACTCTCATCGCGTCCTAAGTATTGGCCATTCATTACGTAATAGTTGTCTCGTTTGAAGCGATGATCACGTGTTCAATCAATTAATCGCTATTCATATGAACCATAAGTCATATTATTGTTTGATTTGTTGCTTATATTAGAGTTGATTGTATTGATTGCTATATTCATTGAATAGCAGTAATCGTGTTAATAGTGTTATAGTGTTGTGTTATATGGAGTTTGTGGACAAAGTGTGATCACTAGTGATGGACCCGTTTATGCATCCGATGGCGGCTAACACTCAATCGGCGAGCGGTGGCCAGCATTCAGGTAGTGGTCAGAGCAGTGGTCAGCCATACGTCCGTATTGTTGAACAACCGGCCAAATGTGCGCTCAGATTCCGGTACGAGTGTGAGGGCCGAAGTGCCGGCAGTATTCCCGCCTCAACCGCCACCGCAGACAACAAGACTTACCCCACTATTCAGGTCTGCAATTATAAGGGACAGGCAGTGGTGGTCGTGTCGTGTGTGACCAAAGACACCCCCTATCGACCGCATCCACACAACTTGGTCGGCAAAGAGGGCTGCAAGAAGGGTGTTTGCACCATGGTCATCAACAACCACGACATGATCCAATCATTCACTTCTTTAGGCATTCAATGCGTCAAACGCAAGGATATTGAAGACAGCCTTAAACTCCGCGAATCCATTAAAGTCGACCCCTATCGCAGTACGAACTCCATATAACACAACACTATAACACTATTAACACGATTACTGCTATTCAATGAATATAGCAATCAATACAATCAACTCTAATATAAGCAACAAATCAAACAATAATATGAACTCTCTCTCTCTCTCTCTCTCTCTCTCTCTCTCTCAAATGTATTGAATTGAAAGTTGTATTACAGTTATAATTACTATTTGGATTGACAGCTGGTTTTAGCCACAAATCTCAGTCATCGAGTATCGACTTAAATGTGGTTCGACTTTGTTTTCAAGTGTTCATCGAAGGGCCAGAAAAGGACAAATTCACTGTTCAATTGCCGCCAATAGTTTCCGATCCTATTTATGACAAAAGTAATGCTTTTATACCAATTGTTTGAATTAAACCAATTATAAATGATATGTCCATTGATATGATATATAGAGGCGATGACGGAACTGATAATAACCAAACTATCGCACTGTTCGGCGCCGTGTAGTGGAGGCAAAGAAGTGATACTACTGTGTGATCGGGTGACCAAAGACGACATACAGGTGCGCTTCTTTCAGGAACACAACGGACAAGTGGTTTGGGATGCGTTCGCCGACTTTGGGCCCGGAGATGTCCACAAACAAGTGGCCATTTGCTTCCGGACACCGCGTTATTATAGCGAAAACCTGACACAAGCCGTGTCCGTTCAGCTTCAACTGCGACGCCCCTCTGATGGTTGTCTATCGGATGCCCGGGTTTTCCAGATTTTGCCCAAAGAAGTAGATCCGGACGGACTCACCCGTAAGCGCCAGAAGATTGACGAAGGCTTCGAGCGATTCTTGCGCGACAATTCTTTGAGTGTGAGTTCGCCTCCGACTACTACCGCCCCGACAGGTATTGCCAGTCCGGTGTCACCCAAGCGTGAAGTGATTCATGTGCCCCGAATCACTAACAATATTAAAGTAGGTTGCATTCAAAACGGCCCAAAACTTGACTCATCTCAAGTGCCAATTGTCTCATTGCAATTCTTTGACTCTCTTTTCACATCATTTTATGGATCTTTGCCTTCATTTGACTTAAACTGTGAATCTATTCCCAAATCTATTCTATACTAACATTAGTTATGTTTAATCAAACGCTTATATTAATAGATTGTCTTTCAGTTAATGTTTTTACTAAATCCTAAATATAATTAAAATATGCTTTTTTGAATGTACAGTTGGAACCATTGAATACAATACAAGATACTCAACAATTACAAGCATTAAGTACATCATCAATGGCACAAACTTCATGGTCGGCCAATCCCTCGCAATTCATTTCATTATCACAAATACCGCAACAAATTGGACCTCAAATGGATGTACTTTTATCCCAAGAATACAGACAACCGCCGCAAATATCATCGCAGCAATCGTCACAAACCCTATCCCAGTGCTCAACACAATCCGAGTTTTTATTGCCTAACATTCCCAATGCAATTGATATGAACGCAACCAAATCGTCCAAAGGGTCCACTACTTTGACTCAACTCTTGACAGGACAGTCAGCACTGGTAGGCATCGATCTGAATACTGGCTTTACCTTCAATAACGCCAATATGATTAACACGAGTAATACGAATACAAATACGAGTAATATGAACGCAAATGCAATACAAAACGTTACCACAAATTGTAATACAATAGCAGATGAAGTGATGGAAAAATTTGATTCATTAGGACTGGAAGGGATCGACACATCGGAACTGTTACCAGACATTAACTTCAATTCATTTAACTCGACGATGATGTCCGATATCATGGGCTCCGGACCTATCATTGGATCCATTGGTAATTCACGCGAGAATTTACTTAATTCTAGAGACAATATTCTAGTGACGAGTACTCTCCAGACACCCGATGTTAACACAATTACTGATAACTCACGTAATCTTATGTCAAATCCACAGCAAATGCAGAGATTGCAGACAAAGCTCATCACTTTGGGATCCAATCGCAACATTAATGATGATATTAACGACAAAATTAATAACAATTGATTGAAATTGCATTAAGGTCTCAATTATTACCGTCAAATGCTCACAGAATAATACTTAACGTTTATTATAAATCAATTCATTTGCTCTACAGAAATGTGTCCAAAATGACGTCAAATACTCATTTTTACTCGTAATCTATTTTCCAGTATTATCCCAACTCTTTACCACACATTTAATGCATAACTTTTTATGTTTTAATAATAATAACGCAAACTCTACTTAACTATATTAACTTAACTTTTATTAAACGTATGTCTATTATTTACACTATTCCTTAACACTATTCATCGGTTTGTTTACAATAAATGCTATTCTAATAATAAATATATTGTATGTGATTCTCTCTCTCTCTCTCTCTCTCTCTCTCTCTCTCTCTCTCTCTCTCTCTCTCTCTCNNCTCTCTCTCTCTCTCTCTCTCTCTCTCTCTCGTTGTGGAGACTATACAGAACATTGTTTCATATATTTTATTTAATTGATGAATTTATTGACATTTTATAGGCTATTTTACCCTTAAATTTTAAAATATAATTTTTAAACACTCCTTTCATTGCAATAAATATATTTATGCTTAATTAACATGCAAGATTAACAATGTTAATTTATACAATACATTTGCTTACACCAGTATTTTTTATTTTCATTCATTTGCGAAAATACTATATATTTCATTGAATAATTAAAAGTATATTTATATTAATAATGTAAACAGATTTATGTTTTTATCCAATATTTCGATGTTTATTTGTATTATTAATTGAATTTTAAACAAATACAAGAATATTTTTCTATAATTGAGTGAAAACACAAGTGATTTTCTATTTTGTTATAATATTTCATTATAAATATTTTTGTTGATATATTTTTTGTAACCTAAATAGGGTTGACTGAAGAATGAGAAACAATGCAAATTAACGATAAATTAGTTATCGTTTTATTAGATTACAAAATATTAATTGTGTTCGGCTTTTGTATTAGAAACTAAAATTGTATGTCAAGTATGTATTTATATTTGTAATTGAGTTGCATATGAGATATGAATTAAACAAAAATGTCAAATACGGTTCACTAAAAACATTTACAACTCCAACAAACATCAAATCATTAGATTATTGAATGGTTATAAAGATAGCCTTTCGTACAAATATAAACCATATGTTGAAGCAATTAAACAATCATTAACTAACAGGAATATTAAAACTAATTATGTAAACGCTATTAAAGGCCATTGTGTTGAATATAATGGCCAAAAGACAAGACAGTTCTGCTCTCAATTGCAACTCTAATATAAATTTATAAGAAATGTAGTGTTTATGTGATTACAAATGGTTAAACAATAATGTATTGGTTTGTTTGCATTTCAGATGATTTGAATATTTAATTAGCGTATAAATCAATTAAATAATGAATTTGTGGCAAAATATAGAAATGTATTTCTAATTTGTTGTGTAGTTTTAACATAATTAGTTGGTATGAATGTATTAGAAAATCAATTGTCATAATCGTCATCTTCATCGATGGCTGGAGTCTTATGGTATATATTAAGTGATGAGCCAATAGGCTGTTGATTAGAGGGCGCGACACCACTACTGGTGGCGGCGGCGCCCGTACTCCTGATTGTCGACACAGGTATTGATGAGTGAG